ATTGAGTTTATCAAAATTTTAAGTTTTAAACACGTTAAAATAAATTATTTGTTATTAATTTTAAGTTTCCCAAGATATTTAATTGAAATTTTTCCGGCTTATAATTTTTTCATTTTTATAATATCTAAATTTTTTTTTCTGAACATTGTAAATTTCGTCTGAATCAATTAAATAAATATTTATATATAAAATTCATAATTAATAGCATTCATTAAATAAAAAAAAATGTCATTCAATTCAAATCCCATAAATATTTTTTTTTTGTTTTATTCTCAACATAAACCGCGAAAAAAGGGGGAAAACTTTTTTTTGTGTGTGTAATTATTGTTGTTATAATTGTTATTAATTTGTTATTGGTGTATTACGTAATACTTAATTATAAAAAATTAAAAAAAATGTTTATTATTAAATACTCACATCCAATTAATTATTTAAAAAAAAAAAAAATTAATATTATAATCCATTGTGTAGTGAACAATAATAATAATAATAAAGAAATTAAATCGTATTGTATATTTGGGCGTGGTTTAGTTTACTGTTAACCATCACGTAAAATTTAAGAGAAAAATATTATTATTATTATTATTTTGCGTTTAACGCACGCACTATATTTTATTATTAAAATTGGGACATTAATAAAATAGTAGTTAATTTTATATTAAATAATTAATAAATTCCAAAATAAATAAAATAAACAGAAAAAAACTTTTTTTTATAGAATATTTTTAAAATGGCTGAAAATAATAGTGAAGTAGAATTTGGTTCTCCAGAAACAGAAACAAATGCGACAAATAAATCTCCAGTACCTCCAGAAAAAGAAAATGAAAGTAAAAAACAGGAAACGAACGAGGGTCAAAAATTTGGAACAACTCAAAGTTTCAAAGATCAATTTAAAGCTTTTTCAAAATTTGGTGACACAAAATCTGATGGTAAACACATAACTCTCTCACAAAGTGATAAATGGATGAAACAAGCAAAAGTTATTGATGGGAAAAAAATAACAACAACCGATACTGGCATTTATTTTAAAAAATTCAAGTTTGTTTTTTTTTTTTTAAAACAAATTTTTGTCAATTTTATTAGATTAGTTTGTTTTAATACAACTTGTTCATATTTTTAGATGTTTGAAAGTTTCTTTAGAAGACTATCGAAAATTCGTTGAGATTTGGCAAAAATAAAAAAATGAATTTACAAGATATAGAAAATAAAATGTCACAATGTGGGGCCCCAGGATTGCATGGGTCATCGGTGAGTTCTATTACTCATTATAATTTAAAAAATTTTTTTTAATCCCTACTTAATAATTTATAAATTTTTAGACGAATTCAAAAATCGACTCGACTGTTGAAAGATTAACAGATGTTAGCAAATATACAGGCTCTCATAAATTAAGGTTTGATGACAGTGGAAAAGGAAAAGGAATAGCAGGAAGGAAAGATATTGTGGACAATTCAGGATATGTTTCTGGTTATCAAAATAAAGACACATATTCTAAAACTCATTAAACAAAAACTGAAAATCATCCCTTTCGTTTAAAAAGGATGAGGGTGATTTATAAGTGAAATGAGAAATTATCAACTGTGAAAATTTTAATTTCCACATCTTTAAAAATTTCATATTCATTTCAAAAAGTTTTTCAAAAGTCTAAGACATTAATTATATGTTGCAGTGCCTATGTCAACTCATCATTTTCATCAATTTATTAAATTTTTTTTTCATTTTCAAATAAAATATCCGTTAAAACATAAATTGCAAAAATTAAAAACATCATTCCTATTGAACTTTATAAAATCTTACCCCACCCCCCCCCAAAAAAAAAAATTATAAAATTTTTTTACCCATTCAATAAACTTTAAGATATTAAACCATTTAGACCTTTTAGGTACCCTACAAAAAATTATTTTAAATTATATCCTAAGTTACAAAAATAACAATGGTATTTAAAAAGTTCAAAATATTATCTCACCATGAACAAAATCAATAATAATAATAATTATTATTATTATTTAAACGGCGTTTTGTTGTTGTATTGATAAAATTAAAATAAATATTATTTAATTCAATTTATATGTAAAATTTTGTTAATAAGTTATTTTGTTAATAGTATTGTTAAAAATTTTTTCACTATTTATCCACTACAATTTTGCAAAAAAATTTTAAGTTCGTTAAATTTCTCTATTTAACACTTTTTTAACAATTATTTTTTGTAAATGCACAATTAAGCATAATCAAGTATTTAAAAATATATGTATATTTTTAAAGATTATTATTATTATTATTATTATTGTGAAAAGCTAGAAATATACGAGCTTAAATAAATGATTAGAATATTTTTCATAAAAAACTATTAAAATACACTTTACACTAGCAATATTATTATTTATTATTTATTTTTATTATGTTTTTATGAAATAATTATTAGCAATGAAAAATTTTGTAGCATTTGTACATGTTTGTATTTTATAAAAATAGAATGCAGAAATAAAATTTCTCTTTTTTTTTTTTTTTTGCATTTAATTAATTGAAATTTTTTTGTTTGTGTAAATCAATCATTTAACCATCATGAATCATTTCATAAATTTATCAATAGTAAAAACAAATTAATTTATAAAATTAATACTTTTAGTCAGGTATTGAAAACAAATTTTTTTTTTTTTTTTTTTAAACAATTTGCAAAGGGACATTGTCCATTTTGTCCTTGAAAACTTTTGATTAAAAAATGTCTTAAACTCTTCGTTTTTTTTTACATAAATTAAATTTAGATGATTGAACAACGATATTAAAAAGATATTTATAAAAGTTTTACGGGCAAAAGTGTAGAAAAATAAATAATAATAATTTTATCTTACCTTTAAAGGTGAAAATGTTCAAATTGCGGTTATTTTAACAATTTCAAACTAAATGCAAGTTGTCAACACTGTTAATAACTGTTCTTTACAGTTGGCCAACATTAGCATAATTGAATGGACAGAAATGAACTTTGATTGTTTTGAGCTAGATAACTATTCAATAAGTTTACGTAATCAGGGTGTTTTAAAAAAAAATTTTCAAAATGATGAATACGGGGTAAGTTTTATTTAAATATTTAAAATAAATTACCGTAACTTTTTTGACGGGATCATAAGGAATAATAAATTAAATAATAAAAATTTTCTTAATTTTATTTATTCGTGTACTCAAGTGAAAACTAATACACGTATATTATTGTCTAGTTTATCCTCTACTTTTGAAAAAATTTAAAAAAAATTTTTTAAATTTCATTTTGTATTATTTAAAATAACAGATTTGATTGATTTGTATTGATTTTGAAATTGCAATAAATTTTACAATATAGAATTTTTAAAAATAAATTTAAATTTTAAAGCTGAAACTTTTAGTTTAAGTAAACTCAATCCATTTTAAATTTTATCACAACAAGTTATTATTTCTTTAATTAATAATATACAGTAGATTTTTAAATCCGGAATTGTTTTTTTTAATTTGAAAATATTGATGCAAGCATTAAATTTTAGGAAATTAAAAGACATGACAATTTTCATCACTGGAGCTAGCAGAGGTATAGGAAAAGCTATAGCTTTAAAAGCTGCTAAGGATGGGGCCAACATTGTAATTGCTGCCAAAACGGCTGAACCTCATCCGAAACTGCCAGGAACAATATTTACAGCTGCAAAAGAAGGTAATCATTTTATTTGATTGATAATAATTATAATTAATACTTTTACAATTACTTATTTTTTTTTTTTTTTTAAAAACTAGTTGAAGATGCTGGTGGAAAAGCATTGCCCTGTGTTGTCGATGTCAGAGATGAAGCACAAATTACCAAAGCTGTTAAAGATGCTGTTGCAAAATTTGGTGGTATCGATATTCTTATTAATAATGCCAGTGCAATTTCTTTGACACCTACTCTCGAGACTGATTTAAAAAGATATGATTTAATGCAAAATATAAATACAAGAGGAACTTTTTTAGTGTATGTCAATTTTAACAAATTACTGACATTAAAAAAAAACTTTTATCACGTTTAATTGAAATTTATTTTATTTAGATCTAAAGTATGTTTACCTTATTTAAAAAAGGGTAAAAATCCACACATATTAAATTTAAGTCCTCCTCTAAATTTGAATCCAATGTGGTTTGAAAATCATTTGGCTTATACAATTGCTAAGTATGGTATGTCACTTTGTGTGCTTGGCATGCACAAAGAATTTCAAAAAGATGGAATAGCTGTCAATGCTCTGTGGCCGAGAACAGGTAAAATTATTTAAAAATTTAACTTAATTTTTTAACATTACTAAAAATTTATTTTTTTAATTAGCCATAATGACAGCTGCAATAGAAATGTTGACTGGACCAGACAGTGCAAATCATTCTAGAAAACCTGAAATTGTTGCTGATGCTGCCTACGCCATTTTAACTAAAGATTCGAAAACAGTTACTGGAAACTTTTTCATCGATGATGAAGTTTTAAAATCTGAAGGAATCACAGATTTTAAAAATTATGCCTGTAATCCTGGTAAGAACCTACCTTTCATTATTATTTTTTAAATCCATTGATTTTTTTTATAACCTTAAAAAAAAGGTAAAAAATCAATTGAATTTTTACATCTAAATTTTTAGATAATGCTGAAAATTTGATGCCTGACTTTTTCCTCGGAGATCCTCCAACAAATTACGACCAAGCTCTTGTAGGCTCTGCAAAAAAACAAGAAGGTTCAGCTTCAGGTATGTTACAATTGTAAAAAACAGATAAATGTCAAATCTTTGCAGGTACAAAATTATAAGCATTTTATTTATTATGTAGGTAGTGTAAATTACGAAGAAAAAATAGAACATGTATTTCAAGCTATTAAAAGTAATATAAATGAAGATGTAGTTAGGAGAATTCAAGCAGTTTTTCAATTTAATGTTAAAGGTATTAAAATTATACTTTTTCACATTTTTAATGATACTTTATTTTATTTTAATTAGCAAATTTATTTTTAGGACCATCCGAAGGAGTATGGTACATTGATTTGAAAAACGGCAAAGGTCAAGCAGGTCGTGGAAAACCATCGGTGCCTCCTGATGCTACATTAACCATGAGTGCTAAAGATTTTTTTGACCTATTCTCAGGTATAAATGTTTACAAATACATATTTTATATAATTTAATAATAAGAAATAAATATATTGATTTCATTGTTTATTTTTCAGGCAAATTGAAGGCTACCGCAGCGTTTATGAGTGGAAAGCTTAAAATTTCGGGAAAAATGCAAGAAGCCATGAAGCTAGAAAAGTTAATGAATTCGTTAAAATCTAAACTTTAAAAATTATTATTATTATTATTATTATTATTTAAAATAATACGAGAAGTATAGGAATTTCATTTTTTCAGTGCAGATTTAACATTTACAGTAACAACATTCATTCTGTTAAACATGCAAAAAAAAAAAACAAAATACATAAACCTGTTTAAGTTAAATAATCAGTTAGTTAGTATAATTAGGTTTTAAAATTTATACCTTTAAAAAGTATTAAATAACCAGGAAAAATGTTTTACAATAGTATTTTTATTATAACTTATACACTATTTGTTTTGTAAAAAAAAAACATGACACTTTTTTTTAACATAAATTATTGTTTTATATTATGTTTATAAGGTTGTGGAAAAGTTCTATATTTTTTTTATTTTTATTTTTAAGTAAATACTTTTTACTGTTATTTATCAATAAATAGAGTTGTATATTTAGATAACATTAAAAATTACACATTTTTTTTATCACTAAAAATAATTATTGCATAATTGTGGGCATAAAATGTAACATGTATCAAAATTAATCAAATTTAGACTGATACATGAAAAATTTAATGTTATCTATTCGATAAATTCAAATAATTGTATACTTTTAAACGATTACTGTCACGACTCAAATCTGTACAAATTTTATGTGAAATATAATAAACGATGACAGCAATTAATTAAAAAATTAAATTATAGCTCAAATTTTTATTTTTAATCATACATTATAAATAAAAAAATATATTTTTTGTTGTTTTTATTTTTAAGTAATTTAAAAAATATTAGAGAATTTTTTTTATATTTAATTTTACTATCATTTATTTTCTTTAATAAATTTTGAATATTATAATTATTTCTGTTAATTTTAGTATTTTATATTATATTTTGTTTTATATTTTTTAATCGAATAAAGATTTATTTAAAAAATATTTACTAATGAGTATTATTATTTATTTTTATTACAAACCTAAAAAACTAATAAAGTAATTTATGACATAAGAGTCTGAAAAGTTTAAAAATTCATGTAGATTGAAGGAATACTATTTTTTATATTTGATTAATATTTATAAAAACATAATAAAATCCTTACTTACTTTATTTCTAAAATACAATTATTGAATTTGGTAGTGTGTACACTAAATAAAAAAAGACAAATATTCACTAAAAATTTTACATTTAACTCTTATTTATTACTTGAAAATATTTTAAACTTTGAATCTCGAATACATTTTGGCGAATAATTATTTTCAGGGCCTTCTTTTTCGTCTGCTCTTATTGGCTACGTACATCTGTTTTTAATTTTTGCACAAAAAAAAAAAACCACTTTAAAGTTTGTAATTTTAATTTTACAAGTAAAATGCTTTGACATTATTTCATTTTTGAAATATTCACATTAGATAATTGCAATGCTTTATATTTATTTTAAAAATTTATGATATTCAATTATTATTACAATAGTATTATTCTCAAAAAATTATGTTCAAGTCCAAAACATTAAAAGTCAGTAAAGGTGTAGAAAATGGTAAAAACTTTACTTTAGAAATAGAGCCAAACCAAGACACTTTAAATCAAAAATCCGAGATAACTTTATTATGGCTTGACATAAGTGGTTTAGATAAAACTAGTCAATTTATTTGTTGCTGTTTAGGTTTATTTGTTTTTTACCTTATATATGGGTATTTATTAGAATTGTTATTTACAATTGAGGGATTAAAACCCTATGGTTGGTATGTCACTCTTATGCAATTTGGATATTATTCACTTTTCGGTTGGATTGAAAATTTTATTTCCGGTTTAAAAAAAAGAAGGTGCGACACTATTTATTTGTAACATATACTAATTTATTTAAACACATTAAAATAATATACAATGCATTTATTTTAGAACTCCAATTAAAATATATCTACTTTTAGCAGCTTTAACTCTTGGAACTGTAGGCTTTTCAAACACTTCACTCCAATATTTAAATTATCCAACTCAAGTTATATTTAAATGCTGCAAATTAATACCAGTTATGATCGGTGGAATAATTATTCAAAAAAAAAAGTTTGGATTATTAGATTTTTTGGCAGCGATATCAATGTGCGTTGGACTTGCTTCTTTTACACTAGCTGATAGTTATGTATCACCTAATTTTAATCTAATTGGAGTTTTAATGATATCATTAGCTTTACTATGTGATGCAGTAATAGGAAATGTGCAAGAAAAAGCAATGAAAAAATACAATGTTCCTAATACAGAAGTAGTGCTTTACTCGTACTCATTAGGATTTATCTATTTGTTAATTTTGATGTTGGTCTCGGGAAAATTTTTTAATGGTTTTTATTTTTGTTTAAATGTAAGCATAATAACAAAGTTTCCTCACATTAATATATATTAATACAAAATAAATAACATTATTAATAATATTTATTATTTTAGAATCCGACTCAAACATATGGTTATGGTTTGTTATTTTCTGCATCTGGTTATTTGGGAGTTCAAGTAGTTTTAACATTAGTTAAATCGTGTGGGGCTTTTGCAGCTGCAACAGTAACAACATGCAGAAAAGCAGTTAGCATTGTTTTATCATTTATGTTTTTTAGCAAACCGTTTACAATCAGTTATTTTTGGTCAGGATTATTAGTATTATTCGGAATATATTTAAACATATATGCTAAAAATAATAGGAACGTCACAATGAAAAATTTCTTATCGAGAAGACTATTAAAATTATATCTGTACTTATTTAAGATTTTGAAAAGGAAAAAACCATCTTTAGAGTTGACAGTGTAAAAAACAATTACAATTTTCAAAACAAAAACACTTATATAAAAAAAAAAATGTATCGAGACTGAAAAAAAAACTTTAAATATATATATATATAATAAAAAAAAACTTATTTGTGATTATTTACTTTACCTTTTAAACAAAAATCTTATTGTATATTGTTGGTTATATGTTAATAATTAAAACAAAAATTTATAAATATTTCACTTTATTATTTTTAGTATAATATCAGTACAAAAAATTTCACAGTATTTTTATAGTTTCAAAAATTAAACAAGGTTTATTATATATATATATTGAAATTCGTGCTATCAAAAAATTTTCTTATTTTCTTTATTGAAATAATAATAATAATACTTTATCAGGTAAAATGAATAATTTAGACTTAATTTTCAAATTACAATATAAAAATTTGATCACGTGACAAAAATAAAAGAAGCGTGATGTAAATTCATATAGTAATTTTTTTTTTTTTTTTTTGATAAGTTTAAAAAAAAAAAAATCAATAGAAAATCAATAGAAAATCAATCAATACAATTTATATATTTTTTTTGTGCTTATGTAACAATAAAAACATAAAAATTTTCTTTTTTTTTTTTTTTCTAGTCTGCGTCACAATCAATCACTGAAAACTTTTTTTTTTTAATTAAAAATATCGATCGAATATAATGATTACGATGATTATTATATAAATATTATTATATTATATCGATTTATCACAAAATAATATTTATATATATATTAAATAAAATAATAAAAAGGAATAATAATAATAATAATAAATTAAATATTAAAAAATGATTTCGTAACAAAATAATAATAATAATGATAAGTAGTAGTAGTAGTAGTAGTACAATTTGTCATTATTTATACATATATATATACTTTATTGCATTATTTAAAAACCGTTAAAAAAAAAAAAAAAAAATGTCCATATTTATTTGTTCCCTAATGAAATTATTTTATGTGATCCAACCTTTTTTTTATTATTTTTAATTTTAATAAAAAAAAAAAAAAAAAGAAATGACGAAACCCCTGAGTTAAGAAAGAGAATTGCACTCTAAAATTAATAAATTTCAAAGAAAATGATATTTTAAAAGGGAAACGTTAAACTATTACACTAATTAAAATGGCAGTAAGAAATAAATTTTTTATGTAGTAATAATAATAATAATAAATTATTGATAAAAAAAATCAAATTTTTTTTGTGTAAAATTACAAAAAAAAAAAAAAGTTATGATAATAAATGCATTTAGTAACAAAGAGTTTTAAGGTAGTCGCTTACTATCTTAAATATGTTTTTTTTTTTTTATAAATATATGTATAATATTTTTATTTTTTTTTTATTACAAATAATAATTGTTTAAAACAGCGACTAGAAATTAAATTTTGAAAAAAAATTATTATGTGACAATTGTTAAGAAAAAAAAAAAAAAAAAGAAAAATGACAAAAACATTTTACCTCATATCCCAATAGTAGTAAAATGAAAACAAAATGGCTGCTTGTTTACAAACAAACAAAAAGATCTTTTATAAATGATAAACTTAAAAAAAAAAAAATGAAAATTAATTTTTCTTTTAACTATAAAATAAAAATAAAAATTCTCCTTTTAATAATAATAATAATAATAATAATAATAATTAATAATAATAATAATGAAAAACAAAAAAACTTTTTCCTAAATTTTTCAAAATGACAAGAGATCAATATACAAATGCTATCGTTTTCAAAATTTTTTATTTTATGTAAATAAAAAATCGTTTATTATTAATCATACATAAATATTTATTTATAACTCGCCCCTAATTAATTATTCTATAATAATCATATTAAAAAAATTTGGCAAATGCAGAAATAAAATTAAATAATAATAATTATTATTATTTTTCTAAACAACTCAAACTGTTTGGCATTAATAATTAATTAATTAATTAATAATAATAATAAACTGAGTAAAAAAAAAAAAAAAATTTTCTTTTCTTAAAAAAAGGCAATTCATCAATCATTCTGTCACTTTTTTTTATTTTTTATTTTTTTTTTGGCAAACTTATTATTTATTAAAAAAGATTCAAGCAAGAATATTTTTTTTTTTCATTTAAAAAGGCTCAATATACAAGCATTATTCAATAGGGGGGGGGGGGGGGAGAAGCTTAAATTTTTTAAAATTCTGTAAAAATTCAAATAATAATAATAATAAAGTATAAAAAAATAATATTCGATCGTTGTTTGTCTATCATTTCCGAAATTACTACAAAATCAAATTTTTTTTCCTTTTTCTGGTTATTGTACAATTCCGGAAACGATTGTCGAATTTCCGACAATTTTATAATCGTCATTTAAATAAAAAAGAAAATAATCACAATTTTTAAACTCAATTTGTTTTTAGACTCAAACTGAATAAAACTATAACTATTTTTTTTTTTTTTGTCACCTTATTATAAAAAATTGTTTTTTATTAAATATTTAATACGATTTTACCATTATTCACCACCCTCTAATAATAAT